TAAATAAAACAATTATTGCCTTTTCAAACAAATATTTGCACTTTTTTTAATACAACAGAAAATAACTCGTATACAATCAGCATGTAAATGTTAGCCAAAATGTTTGTTTCTACACTAAAGCTACTATCATAAAATTTGGTTGGCCTGTTGCTCTACTAGTTCTTCCTGACAACATACTGTACTTTCTGTTCAATGCTATGCACATCTACAGTATGGCAATATTATAATACACTCAATAAAATAACTTGATTGTGTTTGGTTGAAATCAGTACAATTATCAATCCTTAATTAAATTTTTATGTTCTTACATATACAGCAAATCTGTTTATGCATTTATAATGTGCTAACTATAAGAGGATATAACTAGCTAAAAACTAGTGTGAGCTGCGTCGGTGTTTCTAATGAAACAGTAATGATGAAAAGGTAAAGAAAATTGATCAAAGAAACAGATAAATGCCTTTGCTTAAATATACTTTTTTCATACAGTTTTGTTGGGTATACTATAAATGAATAATTGCAAGACCTTCTCGAAAAATTCATAATTTTATCATTAAATGAGAAATAAATTGTTATAAAGAGAGAACTCAATTTGTAATAGCTTATGCAAGACTTTTCCAAGTGTGTTGTGGATTTTGATTCTCACTATAATTCCTTTGTTTTTTTTAGACTATTGAAATAATTTCTCGGCATTACTTCTTGTAACAGATCTTCCTTCATCCTTTTAAAAAAATTGATGTGGAAAGAACATGAGTTAAGTGCACTTGCTAGCATCCTGGTTTGCTATATTAATCCCCAAATTATGAACTCAAAGAAAACGTTCACAGTCGTATTTCGAAACATAAAATTAATGTTGTTTCACGCTTTCGAAAAGTTAGCCATGCATTCAACTTCATTGACAAACCATATTACAATGCTTAAAGCCACGAAGAGCAAGATTCCAGGCAGTTAATTCCAAAATAAATTGAATTTAAAGAAAAAGTGAAAAGCAAAATAAGAGTCTCAACGTTACATGCCTGATAGTGATTCAATCCACGTCCTCATGATCAGCCATCGATTTTGCAATCCAGGAAAGTAAAAATTGAATCCACTGTACGATATCAAACTCTTGCTGTGCAAATTCAGCTTCCAAAGCTCATAAAAACGTCTTTTGAACAGAGATTATACGGTATTTTTCTCTACAAGAAACGGTTACCGGTGAATAACAACATCAGGCGCCAAAACACAGACTATGAGCCCGCGTACATACCGGCTAATCACCAGTCCACTCAAAGTCACAGTACAGTGTCTTCGTGGAGAGAGAGACTTGCAAATGTGTAGAGATTGATTTGAAGATGTTATTTTAAATGCACTGGAAATAGTTTCATCAGTGAGTAACAGTAACAGGAAATAAATAATTATATTTTTCAATAATGTATTGTTTAGAAGTTTATTCGAAATTCACTGGTAAGCTAAAATATGGATTTCAAAAACGAATAGTTTTTAAATGACAAGGCCTCATATACTTACTTACAAGTATATGGTGTTAGTCTCCTGTTAGTTTCTAAGGATAAGTTGACATTTTTGCTAGCAAATGGGTAGAGAGTTATGATAACTCAGATATTCTGGCTGACCATGGTTGACTGTGTACCATGGTCATCATTAACATATTTTGACCATGGTTGATAGTGTAACATGAAAATTGATTCTTAGGTYTAAATGTTCCTTATATATGGACTGTGTGATGATCACCATTATTAACACTTTGACCATGGTTGACTGTGTACCATGGTCAACATTATTTTAAACACTTTGACCATGGTTGACTGTGTACCATGGTCAACATT